TCCCAGCCTTTGGCCTTTCCCTGCAAAGTCTGGAAAGTGTTGTATCCTGTCGGATTCTCACTAAACGCAGGGATTTGTGGGCCGTGCCTTGTCACCTCGTTTATGTTACGCTTCTTGGCTGCGGTCCCTGCCTTTGGAAATCCACTGGATGCGGCTATAAAGATTTTAAGACAAGCCAACGCGGCAGGCCCGTTCGACTAATATTCCCCTTGTCTTTTCTTCCCCTCGCTTCCTGATACAGGCTCTTCTCCCAGCGCCGCGCCCCAAGTATTGCACTGAAAGCCTCTGTTGCTCTCTGTGTGTGGCTTGGGGGCATAGGGGGTGAACTCCGCTTTCCCTGCAGACCTAGCCAGACCTGGGTCAGCAAGCGCAGCAGCATCCGCTACCCTGGGCATGCAGCTTCCTCCTAAGTTTGTGGGAGCGAGATAAAAAGCTGCCTAATTATCTATACAGTAATTGTAAGGTGATCTGAGGAACCTCTAAACCAAGACGGCCACCTGCAATCCCCTCCAGGCGTCCTGATTCCGCCCACCCTCCTTTACGGCGTCTGCGTTTTGGCGCTGCCGGAGACTTCAGAGCAACAAACCGTTAATTTGGGAACATTCTGCAATAATTCGAAATTCACCTCGCCAGGCACCGACTGCTCACTCTACGGCTCCCTTAATAGATGTCATTTGTATATACGGTTGAAACACTGGAATCAATTTATATTAATGATCTCTTTATTCACCACGGCAAACTTTTAAATGTTTAATACAGTGCAAACTGGCAATGAAATGCATCAAACTAACAGAAGGAGGTTGGCCCTGGTGCGGGGAGAAGGTGCCTTCTGCTTGAATCTCGAGAACCGTAATTACAGAAAGGGCAAGTAAAGTGGACTCTAATGGAGAGTGAGTTAAAAGGTCACTGTCATCTGAGTTGCTGTTTATACCTTCTCCCCGCTGAGCAAGCCTGTTGATAGCAAAAATTGAAAACCTGACAAAAGCACCCTTTTATGCGTGGAAATCAAGAGAAGGAAAGCCGTCCAGCTGGGAGTAACACAGCTGAACCCCTGGGCTGGGGGCTCGCATGCTACTCGAAGATACATTAGGAAAAGCGATTGAGCCCGTGTGGCTAATGCAGGAGTGATGCCCTCAGAACTCGAATGAGAGCGAGTAATTGATACGGAGTTTAATCAGGAGCAAAATACCAAGCCGAGCTGGAGAGAGATGGACGATGGAAGGAGATGGGGATCCAAATCTGGATGCTGTCTAGCCCTCCTAAGAAAGTGACTACAACAGCAGAGCCGGTGTATTCAGTGACATCACCACAACAGAAAAGCCTGTGTGTTCAGTGACATCACTGTATGCCAGAGCTTGGGCTGGGGTCTTTAGGGAACTGGGCGTGACTGATAGGCTTTAAAAACTTTGGGTCAGGCTGATTGGTGAGAGGGGGCCCAAGGCTCTGAGAAAGGGAGGGAAACCTCTGGCAATTTGAAAAGTCTCACATTGCAAGAGAAAGAACAGACTGGATCATCTTTGACACTCCAAATCCAAAGCTCCCTGCCACGGAGCAACGGTTTTGGAAGAGAGAGATTCTCTCGCAGGTGGAATTGGGTGTGTTGTAGGCCCGGGGAGAAAGCCCAGGCTAACAGGAGGCGGTAAGGGGCAGTGGCGTAGTTTGGAAGGTCAGTGGTCGCTGACAGCTCGGCGTCGCAGCAGAGCCAGAGGGGATCAGCGCGCAGCGCGCTGCCGAACTGCGTTTCGGAACGGGAGAAGTTCATGATTCTTTGTCATTAACTCCCGAGTCCTACTCCCGAGTCCATGGCACTTGTCCCCGCAGTGTGACACACCAGCTCAACAGGGCGCACGTAACAAACACTTCGGCCCCGAGGAGCCCCCCCGGCAGCACCCAGGGCGCCGGAGACAGGAGCCGTCCGGTTATTTAGCCAGACCGGTAAAGTTAGTCGCCCGGAGCGCTGCTGCGGGGCTCTGCCCCTGGGGAGAGTGCAAAGGGAGCGCATGCAAAGTTTGGTTAACGCGAGGCCGGCTGATAATCAGGCTGGAAGGAGAAGGCAGGGCCAGGGAAGGGGTAAGCGACGCGCGCAGCCAGCCAAGGACTGTGGACAGCAGCGAATGCGGCTCTCCCAGCGATTCCTTCCGGAGAAGGGGGACGCGGAGCGGCCAGAAGGGCCGTAACTGCCCCATCAGCTGCGAAATGGCCCAGCCACAGGAGCTGGAGCAGCGGGGGATACAGCCCCGGCCAGGGCGGGAGTGAACTGGATGCGGGCTGGGGAGAGGGTTTCTACGTGAAAGGGCTGGATTTGAATCCGTGCATAGATGTCGCTTCCCTGCGCCTCGCGGGAGCAGGTGGCAAGTTGTTCGCAGAGAAGCTGACATTTCCAGAGGGAGGAAAACAGCAACCTGCGAGTCAACCGGTTCTATTTTTGCCGAGGATTGAAGGCGTTATTAAACCGAAGGCAGCCCCGAAGTGAAGACTGGGTGTTGTTCCAGTGAAACCGAGTGTGAAGGAGAGTAACAGTACCAGCGATCTCTCCCCACAGCTCCCAGGAGCAGCGAGGCCGACCAGGGACCGACGGCCTTCACCGCACACAAGGAAACACAAGCTTTAAATAAACCCAGAGCAGGACCGACATGACTCGTTTATTGCATCAAGTACAGCAACTCTGGGGCTATCAAGCTGTAAAGCAACAGATTTTAAATAGACTGGAAGAGATTTCAAGGGTCCATCCGTGTGCATCGCCTGTCCAATATTCTCCTAGAGCCCAGACTAAGAGAGGGTGTGTGTGTGGGGGGGGGACACCCAGTTTAAAGATCCAGTTCACGCTGAGGTGGGTTCTGGGCACTGGGCTAAGGGGGGACTGGCCTGACTTCATTAAAATGCATCCTGAAAATTATTTGGCAACTCTGGTTCCGGCTTAACAATGAGCTCCCTGATTGGCAAGCTACTTGGCCCTCTGTGTTTATCATTAATTCTGTTACCGAGGTGGAACTTTGCAGCAACATCTGTCATTATAATTAAAGCCGCAATGCAACGACATCTCTTTCACAACCTGAAACCACACAATCTAATAGAGGAGAAAACCCACTGGAGACTAATCAAAGAGATGGACTGTCCATCTGTCCAAGCCTGGCTTTTAGTATTATTTTAAAACTTAGCCAATCCAGGGGAATCTTTGGGGGGAGAGAGGACGAGATGCCAAGAAGAGACGAGCATTTAGGTTTAATAGTAATGTTTTTCTTTAACAAGGTTAGAACCCTCTGCAGTCCTCATTTCAATTAGAGTCACATATTGTTGGACCGGGGATAAGAGGTGATTAAAATCCAAGCCCACATTTGTGAGAGAGTTCCTCGTTCTCTCCCCCCCCCCCCCCCCCCACACACACACCTCCCCGTGCTTGTTTGTTTAAGTAACACTATATGTGCGGCACGTTTTTGGCTGCAAAAATAGAATTCGTTTTAAAGAGGACACGTGGCGAGTTAGAGCAGAGCGCCGCCAACTCAGAAGCAAATTAGCAACGTGTGATTTAAAGAAATCTATTGATAAAACACACACACACACACACGCCGAGAAAGCCGAATGTGAAAACCCAAGCAAAGCCCTCCGGATCTGCAGGACTAACAAGCGCTGAGTTGCATTCTCTCAGGAATAGTAACTGTCAGGTCATTAGTCATTTTCGACAAGTTCCAAAGCGATCAGTAAACAGCTTTATCTGAGCACAAGTTAACCTGTCAGGAAGATTTCAATCGGCTGTTAAGCAACATTTGGGCATATCGCTATTATCCACCCGCCCCCACAGCGCGCTCTCACACACACACACACACTTTAGCCAGGGTTGCAAAACTCTTCCCTTCTCTGCCGGCAGACAGTGAGCCCTGCGAAGCCTTGCGAGCTTCCCCCTCCAAAGGGCTACAACTCCCCCTTGCCAGCACCGGGCGCCGGATCGCACTTAGCTCCAGATCACCAGACCTTGCTGAAGGCAACAGTTGCATTAATCTTCCTAGGGGCGAGGCCTCAGGGAGCTGCTTTAAGGCTGACTAAAGTGCAGGGAGACGCAGGCGGAACCATTGGCTTCACCGAGGGGAGGGAGAAACCTAACTCCGGCTAGGAGCTAGGCGGAGCGGGGACAGCCTCGGAGCTGGGGGTGTGGGAGCAAGAGGAGAGCTGCAGGCAGCGGATTTATACCCAGTTCTTTATACTCCACGGCCTCCGGAACTGGGGGGCCCTGTTAGCTGCTGGCGAGGGGGGCGATCCCCTCTGCCCGGGGCTGCGGCTCGTGGCTTCTGCCAGGGCGCAGGGGTACCGTGCGTGGCGCTGCTGAGACGCTCCGGGGTAGAGGCGCTGGGAGCTGTCCGCCGGCCGCCGGTGCTGAAACCTGCCCGGACCCAGGACTCAGGTAGCCGCCAGGGACGCCCCCGAGCCCCGGGGACTCCTGGGCGGGGAGCGAGCGGAGGGCAAGCCGAGGTCAGCGCGCAGCTGGCCCCGCCAGCCGGGCCGGGCTTCGGAAAGTTGGGCGAGCCGGTGTGGCCACCCGCGGGCTGCACCGGGCGTTTGCAGCGGCCCTGCCGGCAAAGAGGGGCGAGCTCGGGAGGGGGCCGGCGCCTCTCCCAGGGCGCAGGAGCAGCTCAGGCTGGCCCGGCAGGCGGAGCGCTCGCCCGGGAGAGCCCCGGGAGACAGGGCTTATCTCCGGCAACATCTGCCGCGGGATGGGGCGGGGGGACAGCGGGGGAAGGAGGCAGCGCTGGCTACGAAAGGGGTCGAGCTGCCAAGGGAGCGCGGAGTTGGGTGGGCGGGCACCGGGGCTGGCTGCTCCCGGCGCACCGCCCTACGGAGCGGCCCCTTTCGCCAGCCGATCCCGGAGCCGCCGGGGGAAGGCGAGGGAGCGCCCGCTGCCCCCGGTACTGCGGCAGGGGCTGGACGGGAAGGGAAGCCAGGGACAAGGCGCCGGCTGCTGGCCCCGCTCCCCTCCCTCGCAATCCCACCCAGGTCGGCTCACTTACCTGCCTGTGACATGGGGGAGAGGTCCCTCGGCCGGGCCGGATGGTCCTTGATCTCCGCCCTGGGGGGACACGTTGTCCGGCCGATCCACACCCCCCCGCGCCGGCGGCTCCCACACTCCAGACGGCAAATTTCAAACAGACAAATCCCAGGGCTGGACTCGGCCTGAGAACAGAGAAGGCTGCAGCTCCTCACTGCGTCAAGCAAGGAACCTCCAAGATCCAGGAAATGCAACGGGATTCATGCCAGGCGAGCCTCGGTTGAAAGCGCTGGGCTCCGCTGTTGGGGGTTTTTATTTAAATCTATTCCAAAGGGGTCTGGGGCTGGAGAGGGGCCATCCAGCAGCGGCGATGCCCCGCGCCTAGGTAATAACACATTCTTGCCGAGCGTGATCAAAGGTTTAATGTAGGAGTCCGAGTGGGGGGAGGGGCTGGGAGCGGGGCGGGGGCTGGGGGGGGGGGAAGGGGGTGTGTAACTTCAGCACAAGGCGCGGGTTGATCCAATGGAGCGTTAGGTTAAGTTGAAGCATCAACGCTTCTTATCAGATTGTTTGGCCAAGACTGTCTATAAATGGGAAGGGAGGGAAGAGCTCCCCGCTGGCAAAGCCCCCTACCCCAGTCCCCAGCCCTAAACTTCTAGGGCCCAGGGAGAGGCTGGCAGGCAGGTTGGGTTTGGATTTCTCCCGAGGCCTTACCTTGCATCTCGCTCGCTCGCTGTAGTAAATATCCCACTTTCGGAGGGAGGGAGACTAACATCGGGCCGGGCTTCGGAGAGGCACAGACGCGGTCCTCAGGCTCTGGGCTCCCTGCAAACTTTCCGGGTAACTTTTTCGGGCCGCTGTTTCCTTTCCGCTCTCAACCTGGCTAGGCTCGCTAGCCGGCCGGTTCCGGAGTAATTAGCGATGCACCCCACTCCTCCGGCCGGCGCAGTCTGGAAGAGATGCGAGGCTGAAGCAGCTGTCCGTTAATTGTCCTGGAGAGAAGGGGATGAGCCGGAGGGAGAGGAAAGGGATCACCAGCCTCACGCCGCTGGGGATTCGCCGGGGGCGCGGCGCTGGGGGTGGATCTGGCCCGGCAAAGCGTGGGCTGGGTGTTAGGAAGGGGCAGCCGTGGCTAGGTAAGTCTAGAGCCTTGCGCTAGCAGGGCTGGGAGCGGCCCCTCTCCGGAGTCCCAGCGCCATCCCGGGTCCCTCCAGAGAACTCTCCTTGGAAACGCGCTGCTGGCATAACCCAGCCCCGGCGGGGGGATGCTCTGCGGGGCTGGGCTCTCCTGTCCCCAGCGTGCGGGCGGAAGTTTCGCCGCACACGGAGCCGGAGGAGTAAATGACACGGCAGGGATGTTGCCCAGCCCGCTGCAAAGCCCGGAGGGACCCGCGTAGCCCACAGCAAGCCCGGGGCGGGGGGTGACTTGTCCCCGCGCTGGATTGGAGGCTAGCGCGGCTCGCAGTGCTCTGCTTGGGAAAGGGAAGAGCTGGGATGCCCGGGGACGGGCCAAGAGGTGGAGCAGTAACAGGGTGCTGGATCCCCAGCCCCCGTGTCTCTAGTAACTCCTGGGGCGGGGGAGGGGTGGGGAGGTAAGCACATCTCCCCACCCCAGGTGAGGATGGAGTTTCTTGTTAAACCGCAAATCCCATCAGGCCCTCTCACCCCAGGAGGGGAAAATCCCCAGCAGCTTTGGCTGCAGCACCTGCTGCTCCCCCCGGGAGCCCCCTCCCTTTCACTGCCTGCTTCTGTCCCACGCGCTTCACCACGTGTTGGGCACCGAGAGCAGCTTTTCCAGCTCGGGGCAGATCGCTGCTGATGAAAGCTCTTGGCCTCTCCCAGCGCTCCCTGCTTTCTGCCTCCCCCCCTCCTGCGCCGCCGCCCCCCAAGGAAATCCAAGGCGAATGGGCCCCTTCCCTCTTCTCCGTGTGGTGAAGTGACAAGGGGCCTCTTTAACAACCAATGGCCGAAATAAAGCCGGGATTAGCCAAGATCCCAAGAATAATTCACCCCATCGCCGCGGATCAGACACGTTCCTCGAGACTTACTTGTGGTGAGAAACAAATAAATCGATACACCTTTAGCTGAGAGAAAATGCATCTCCCATTGAAAGGGGCTCTTGGCTTGTCTAGGAGTAAAAGAGCAGCTTTCCTCTCCATTACTCCTCTCATTTCTGGAAATTAATGAGCTGGAGAACTTGTGTCTATCGCAGAGGGGCTTCCAAACACATCAGAAACGCTCAGCGCATTTGCCACACAAGGCTTTGAGTCAGGCATGCTGCAGCATTGGCCCTGGCCGCCTGGAAGGGTGCGGGGTGCAAAGAGGTAGGCGAGATAGTGAAGAGCTGGGCGTTTCTTTCTTTCGGCTCAATAATAATAATAATACAGCCAAGAAATGAAGCAAAATGCAATAAAGCTGGGAGACAGCCTGGGAACAAGCGAGATGGTGGCGCTTCTCCAAATGACAGCTGGCAACCTGGCTTTTCACTTAGTCAAGTTAAAAAACACAGGCTTCTAAAAGCAGCATCCAAACAAAGGGAAGCAAATGAAATGGACTGTCCAGGTTCTCAACTGATTTACCATCGTGGGTCCCGTGTGGCTCACAATGTGTTATGGGGGCCACATCCAATACTACCTGTAGGGCCCTGAAGATGTCACACGGGCCACAGCTCTGTGCTGATTGGGTCACAAGTGGCCCACAGGCCACAGGTTGAGAACCATTGGTCCAGCAAGATGCACCCTGCGCTATTCTACTTGAGAGGACGTCTCTGCTCCGGGGCCCTGGCTTGACCTTCTGGCCCTCTTGGAAGCCTTCTCCTTGTATTGTTATTTGAAATCGTTGGGCTTTGGTGTTTCTTGTGTCTAATTCATGTGTTCCTGAAACTACGAGAGGAATATCATTAATTATTACTGTTTGTATTGCAGCAGCACCTGCAGGGCCAGGGGCCTTCTGGGCTGAGCATTGTACAGACCTGCCTTTATATGCCCCTTTTCAGTTCCAAGCATTTTACAGAGCTATAATTACCCCCCTTTTGGTGGGGGTGGGGGAGGGAGACAGAGGTTAAGTGACTTGTCCAAGGTCTCATGGCATGTCAATGGTAGAGACAAGAGTAGAACTCCGCTCATACCCATGGGATCATGCTGCCTAACACTGTTCATCCAGAGGCCTGAAAGTAATTTACAAATCGGTTGGCCCCACCATTAATCTGCTAGCCTCATTTTACAGAGGGAAGAAAACAAGGCCCAGAGGAGTTCAGGGTTCTTCCTTTTCCCCAGTTAAACCAATAGAAACCCCCCAGTCAACTCAATGGGTGATGGATCCAGCCCCTAACTAACTTGCCCATAACCTTTCTTCCAGGCAACATAAGCAGGTGAGCTATTTTGGGCCTTTTGCTTGGATCCATAGATCTCTGAAGCATTCAATAAATGCCTTGGTCAGGGACTGGGTAGTGGGGGGAGAAGAGAGTTAAACAAAGTAGAGTGAAACCTGTTAATAGTGGCTGTCATTGGGATTCTCCCTGGACTGGCCATCAAAAGATGGCCACACAAGCCACTGTTCACCACCTAACCTTTCTGAGTCAAGTTCACGACTCAGTCTTTAAGGCATTCCAGGTTTCTGTGTGCACACTGGTGGAATAGAAGACTGGGGGATAGAAGACTGGGTGGGGAAGGGGGAACAGAAAAGGGTAGATGGAGATGCGGATCCCTGCATTCTGGGCTCTATGTTCTAAGGAAGCGCACACATACCCATGCGGTTTTTAGCCGGCCAGTTTAGCACTCTCCTGTGCCTCTCTTGCTTTACCTGCTCTTAAACAGAGAGGTCTGTGGCTCCAGGCCTCCTTTGAGTCAGATCCCACCTCTGGATACAGTATTATGTGAACTATGTGTAGTAATGTTTTCACTGCACCATGCACACTCCCCCATTCAGCACTTTTTCTCTGGCATCTTCCTCTGTTGGTCCCCCCTTCTCACTGTGATATAGTGTCAGCTAATCAAAGCCTAGTTTGGTACAGCAGCTTCCTCACCAGCAGCATTAGTGGGTGGAATAACACACCAGTGCTGCTTCTGGGACTACTCAGGTGAGTAAGGGAAGGCAGGATCAGGCCCTTAAAATGGGAGATCCATGAAACCCCCCAGGAGGCTGCCCCTGGGAGGTGACTGTAAGCACAAGTATTGCTCTATTGCTATGCTGGAGATCAACAGGCTGCAAGGCCCATCTTTTCTCTCAGCCATAAGAAGAAGTAGGTGGGCTGGGGAGTTTCAACCAAGGTCAGCGTTTATCATTCATCCTATTTATCCCTGGGGTCAGTTTGTTAGGAGTGGAATTTTCAAGAGGTCAGGTTTGTACCTCGCTCCTATTTGCTTTCAAGGTTTCATTCCCCTTTAGGCATTTTTGAAAAACCCATCCCATGTTCCCCTAGATAAATGAAAACATTTTACAAGGACATCATTTGTAAGTGTTGCTAGGGTGGCAGGTGTAGGGACAGGGCCTATTGGTGGAACAACATCGTTACAAACCAAGATAAATGAAGGGGGAAAAAATAGGGACTTCTGAATAAGCTGCTCCAAATGCATTCATCCACCAGGAACTGACTACTGTGCAGCCTCGAGCCCTATCTTTAGTAAGATCTAAATCAGACATTGATAATATTATTAAAGACAGGAAGTAAAATAAGATATAGTCTGGTTCAGATGACTGATCTATTTACACTTATGGAGGGGAGGAGAGTATGGTACAATGAAGATATCAGGGGTCAGAAAAAGCTGGATACACTGTTGCCACAGCAGGTTCTATCAAGCAATAACCAATAGAAAGTGATTAATAAAACATTTTCTGTTTCAGCCGATTATTTGCAGGTGGAGTAGCACAGAGAGCTATTTGTCACACCTCTCATGCTGTCCTCTGCACATCAATTGGTCCACGTGAGACTGGATAAAGTAATTGGCAAAAGATGTACATGATGAACAGTGGCTAGTCAGTGGCTTGTTTAACTGTGCAAAGTGGGTTGGATAATAAATTGGGTAGAATAATACAATTGATCTGTAATGTGACCTTGGGCACCTCTCTGTGCTTCTGTTTCTTTTCCCATCCTTTGTTTGTCTTGGCTGTTTAGATTGTAAGCTCTTCAGGGCAGAGACTGTCTATTACCCTG